TAAGTAGAGAGAAAAGATAGTATGTATTCTAAAAAAATTGTGTATAACACTATAATTCTTCCCCATTTTTTATATTGTTCAACCATCTTGTTTACAGCAAATGAAAACATATTTTCAAAATTACAAATTCTACAAAATAAAGCTATGAGAATCAGTTTAAATAAAACAAATATGCTAGGATTATATACTAAGTGACATATAAATCCGAACACCCAGTTTAAATGGTTTAATTTTAATAAAAGTTGGTGAATGTATTTATCTTACTGTAAATAACAAGTGAAAAAATGTCAGCCCTATCAGTTGGACATTCCGGTTTTTATACTGCTTTTTTTAATTCACTAACGCTCTAAAAATGAATATTTCAGCCGCAGTAAAGAATCAACGTTGGCGGATTTTGGTTCTTGACATCCTTTACGATCGGTTACGATGCCTAGAGTACGGAGACCTGTACGATTTCGTCAACTTAGTGAGTTTGATAGGGGCCGTATAGTGGGACTTCGGAAGCTGGACTTTCTTTTCGGGCAATTGCAGTTAGAGTGCAAAGAAGTGTAGACACTGTGGTTAGGTGTTGTCAGGCATGGCTTCGAGAAGGCCGTACGCAAAGAGCAAGGGGCACTGGACGCCGCCGTAGAACAACAGACCGTGAAGATCGCCGCCTAAGATTATTGGCCTTAAGGGACCGTTTCTCCACTACCAGGTCCACTGCACATGAATGGTTAGCAGAACACGGAAGACCTATTGGCATGCGAAGTGTTTACCGACGAATGAGAAGTTTGGCTTGTTTTCATACCGGCCACACTGGGTCCTCCCTTTAACTCGAGAACACCGACGAAATCGCCTTGAGTGGTGCGTAATCGCCTTGAGTGGTGCAGACAACGGTCACTCTGGGATCAGGAATGGAACAGTATTGTCTTTAGTGACGAGTCTCGATTTTGTTTAGGCATGCACGATGGTCGTGCCAGGGTTTGAAGGCGACGTGGTGAAAGGAGGAATCCACAGTTTTTTGTTGAAAGACATGTTCATCACACTGTTCTAGTTATGGTTTGGGGTGCTATAGCTTATGGTTCCAGGTCACCTTTAATCTTCATCAGAGGTAACATGAACGCGCAGTGTTATATCCACGAAGTTCTAGAACCCCATCTTTTACCCTATCTTGACACCCTGGCAGATCCAACTTTCCAACAAGATAATGCCCGACCACATGTTGCAAGAGTCACAATAGACTTCTTTCAACATAATGATGTCACATTGTTACCATGGCCACCAAGATCTCCCGACTTATCCCCAATTGAGCACGTGTGGGATATGATGGGTAGGAGATTGCTCAATTTGCAACGTCCTCCTCAGACTCTAGAAGCACTTCGAGAGGAGTTGGTGGTTGCCTGCAATGAGATACCACAGGAGGACATTGACCACCTGATCAGAAGCATGCCTAGGCGCGTTGGAGAATGCGTAGCACATCAGGGTGCATCCACACATTATTAAAGGTCAAAGGGCTTTAAAGCAGTGCAATCATTTTGAAATTTTTATCATTTACTTATTATGCTTCATTAAGTACTTATACAAAATTTTATTAAAATGAAACCATTTAAACTGGGTGTTCGGATTTATATGTCACTTAGTATATTATTATCATAACTACGAAACTAGAGGCAGTATAGATTTTCATCTGCAAAATTGTAATAGTAGCATAACTAGTAAATCTATATTTTAAAAGGGAGTATTCGTATTTAATAAATTGAACAATGATATTAAACAGAGTTCGAATTTAAAAATGTTTAAGGTGAAATTAAGAAATCACTTTATGAATAACCAAAATACATAATGACGTAATTTTAATTTTAATTTGCAATTTTTAAATGTAAAATTACAGAAAATGGATTGAAGAAAAATATGTAACCGAATTATTACACCAAATTGACATTGTAGCATTAATGCTAAATAAATCTTCAACAACAAAAATATGATTAACAGATATTAGGAAAAAGAATATAGGTATATAGCTGTAATGTTCACACGTAGATATACAGGGTGTCCTAGAAATAACACACAGATTGACATGGAAGGTAGATTGGCTTCAGATCAATCAGATGAAACCAACATGACCTCAGCAAAGTTTTCAAGATATTGTTACTTTTAAGTTTTTTTTAAAAATCGTTACTTTTTGCTTTTTTTGCCTGTTATGGCTATAAAGAACTTCTAGCTTATAATTTTTTTCCTGGGATACAATTAACAGTTGGTTGAGACAATCGGGTATTCATTTTATTAAAAACTAGCACAGTATGCTAAAAAAAATTATTACATTTGGTTTCAATTCGAAAACCTTCACTGAAGTCTGACTAATTACTGTGGAAACATGTACCAGACTGGATCAGCAAATGACCTTGAAAACTAGCTATTTAATGCTCTTTCAAGAATAGTATAACATTTGTAGGTTATTTTTACTAAAAACTGAATAATCCCAACTTTTGTCATTGAAGTCGTAATACTTGCGAAACACTACAAATAAAATATAGTAAGTGCAGCTGTCTTCTGTGTCCAAATTACAACTTTGTGGATAGATAGATAGATAGTAGCTTTATTGTCCAACAGTGGCCAATTAACAGGACAATATTTTACAAAATGCATACAAAAGATACAGAACTATAGTTTGTTCTGTATCAAACAAAAATATCTCATGTATATCCTTGACCTACGTATGTACTCCTAGAATAACTCATAGTTTTACATTTGGGTACATTAAGAAATAACTTGTTGGTATCACACCAGTGCTGGAGGGTGTCAATTGAGTCTGAAGGAAAGTACAATCATTCAAATAATTGATAACGGAATATATTTTCAAATCATCCGCAAATCATAAGCGCTCACTCTGCAAATCTTCACATGAATCATTGATTAATAGCAAGAACAGCAAAGGACCCAAACTTGAACCTTGCGGAACACCGGATGAGGCTAAGTAAGTATCAGAACGAAAATGATTATAAGAAACAAATTGCCACCTCGAAGATAAATGGGATTCAAAGATGTCCCTAGCACCACTAGAAAAACCAAATTTGATAAACTTTCCAAGCAATACATCATGATTTATTCGATCGGAGGCCTTCGAGAAGTCGTCAACTTGACTATTGTTTTCCAATGCCTCCGAAATATATTGCGTTATGTTAACTAGATTTGTAGTAGTTGAACGGTTTTTAATAACTCCATGTTGATGTTGTGAGAGTTGATTATGCTCCTAACTACAAATACGATTCAAGATCACGCACAAAATGGAGATCGGAAGATCATTTGGCTCCAGTTTTTAGCACGGGGGACACTTTGGCGACTTTCCAAAGTTTCGGAAACTTCTTCGAC